CTTTCCTTGAATTGAACGCTTTTTATGAATTATGTGACTTTTCGTGATATCTTCAAGTTATTGCTCTTAGCTTCTACTAAGTAACAAGGGCAAGCGTTTGGATGGAAAATAAATGTGGTAAGAGGTCTGTAGTTTAAAAGAATAATAAAATTTGAGAAGGCAAAGCAATCTCTTGAAAACGTATCAATTGAAGCAATTGAAACCTCGATGAAATTGAAAGTTACCCCTGAGGATGTATATTTAGGTTCAGAGCTCCCCTCCCATCTGGATTTCCAGAGCCATTAATCCCCCCTTCCGTGAGATTTTCCAGGGTGCCTTCTGTTGTGGAGGTGTGGATTTTTTCTGGAGCAACCCAATAGAACATGCTTCTTGCCTAGTGGGGAACAGTGTAACTGTCTTAGAGGCTCACTTTAATATACCTTTAACTTTGTCATAGTTACTTAGTTTGTAAAATGACTGATTCACTTTTACATCTGATGTAAATTATGAGTAGGTTTATAAATGCAGCTTTAGATCAAGTGAGCAGCTGCACCCATTTTCTAAGAATTCTTATATTGTCTTTATGTGCTTCAGTCCATGGTTGTTCGTCATATATCGTCTTAATGTCTTTTTCTCTATCTCATCTTTCCATAACGTTGTCTGACTACTATGTAGAAAGGCTTCTCCAAATAATACTGGGGGGAGGGGTACCAGCAGCTGAACAGTGATGCTGATGAAAGCAATGGAAACAGTTGACTAAAACATGCTGAATTTGCATGATCCTTTTTTTTCTTTTCATTTTACTTTTTAATTAGCTTACTCTTTCATTCATTTGTGCAAATTACTGATTATTTATTCATTTTAGGCAATGACATCGAAGGTACCAGAGTGTTCAATCTGTTTTGAACATTACAATGACCAAAGCAAATGTCCTCGGCTTCTGAGTTGTGGACACAACTTCTGCTCAAGCTGCTTGGAGAGACTACCCCATGGTAACACCATTGATTGTCCCACATGCAGAAATCCGGGCACTGTTCCTACTGGAGTGGAAGGACTGTTAAAGAATTTTGCATTATTGGACATTGTGAATGACACACCCAAAGAAAATGTTGGGAGTAATACAGGCTCACATGATTGTGAAGCTTGTGGCAAGAAGCACCCTGCAAAGTTCTGCTGCCTTGACTGCAAAGAAAACATGTGCAAAACTGCAGCTCAGTTTCATACTCGCAACAAGGCAAGTCGCGATCATCAAGTTGTCTCCCTTGAGGAACTGGAAGCAAACCCTCAGCTTGCTTCTGTTTCCCTCATATGCCAAAAACACAACGATAAGTTCTGCTTTTGATGAGAAATGTGGTCATGCAGTTTGTAGGGAATGCGTCGCTCTTGAACAGTTTGGTCACTTGTGTTTACCACTTGCTGAGGCTGCCTCAGAGTATGGAAAGGAAGTGAAAGATCTAATAAAAAAGACTAACATGAAAACTGGATCAGCGGTTGAGAGGAATGAACTGGAAACTGAAAGAGCTAGACTTGAAAAGGAGGTGGGAGAGCTACAAGGCCTCCTTGAAAAGGTAAAGTTAAAATAATTATGCTTTGTTTGAGTTACAGTCACTTTTTGTTACATGCTGCCAAAGTTAAGTCAATCCATTTTTTTAAAACCTAGACTCTCTTTGGCTATTTCCAATGAAATCAAAGTCTCGACAATTGCTATTAATGAAATAATAATCCGTCAAGAGATTAGTGCAATAATCATGTTGCCATTCAGATCAAGTTTCAAGTTTGACGTTTTGGGCAGTTTTGGCTCTTTCTGGGCAGATAGTGATCAGAAAAAATAACAAATGGGCTGTTATGGGAGCTGAGGTACATGTACTATTGACAGGAAGAACTTGAATAATTTCCCTAAGATGGAAGTTTGAAGACAGAGCGGATCTCCTATCCTCCCACGCTAAAACTTGTAACAGGAAATGCATGTTTTTAGCTTAAGGCGACAGAGGGTAACAGGCTATTTGCAAAAAGGTTTAAAGGCTTGTTTATGGTGGAAAGTGCACTTAAGTAATATGCCTCAAAGATCCCTAATGTTTCGTCATAAAAGCGCTATTTGAAGTGTCCAATCTAAATTTTTCTTTGATTACAACAGGGGCACCCAACGAGAACATAGTGCAAAACCACTTAAACATAGCATTGTTAACCGTATCTTAGTATTTAAACGATAGATATAGGCATATTTTTATCCCCTAAAAATTTTTCATCTGTTCGGATTTCCTAGCTGAAAGTCTAGTGATGCGAAAACTATAGGGATCAAAACTTAACTTTTCGAAAATTTCAGCCAGAAAAAAGGCTCCCGAAAATTCTAGGTGACCTTTTAAGGGTAAAAATCCGTTAAAAATGGGCAATTATACCATTTTTTAGATCTTCGAAAATCCTAGGAGAGGCAGGCAAGCAAGAAATTTTACAACAAATGTAAAAACGTTTGTTGACCTCTCTCTCCCCTCCCCCCACAAGGGCTGACGGCATGAACTGATAACCCCAGTAAAGGTAAAATTGGTTGTCACATGACCAACGTGGCTTTCCGACCGCCAAGGCGGAAATACATTTTCTACAAGGTTTCCTGGTTCATGCTATATCATGGCCTCATTTAAGGTAGGTACAGTTTCTATTTTAAATATTGCCAAGGACAAGCTTATTGTATTAAAAGGCAGTAGAATAGACGAATTCCAAAAGACTAATTCAAGTTATTGACGCTCTTTGCGTTTTTATGCGTTACATTTTATCGCGGCGATGGATAGTAAGTGACACAAGAGGTTCCCAGTTCGTCAAGTTATTAATAACTGCAATAGATTTTAAGTCACAAATGTGCTTGTGGCCGACCGACTACCCTGAAAGACTTAGGCTTTTTCCTCACTATTATAAAACGATTTTTGTCGTGTGTATCGAATAGGCAGCAAAAATATGTGAGCAAAGGCCTGATGGACATTTTAGGCCATTTTAATTTGCATATCATTCAAGTCGGAATGTTGAAACGATACAACGAAGTTTTAAAAAATATTGTTGATCAACCCTCCGGGGCTGACGGCAGGATTAGGGCAGGAACCGCAGCAAAGATAAAATTGGTTGTCACATGACCAACGTAGCTTCCTGAGACCGACAAGGCGGAATTACTTCGCAAGAAGATTTTATTTTGCATACCTTCTGCCCCGTTTAAGGTACATACAACTTGTAATTTAAATATTGCCAAGGAAAAGCTTATTGTAAAGTCACTAGAATAGACTAGTTCGAGGTTATTCTGCCATCGCTTAGCTCGACGATGCAGTTCGATGATTCGAAATCAAGTCGAGTCTAAGGATAAAATCTTGATAGCTTTATTATTCAGATGCAAGGCTTACATCAAATTTATGCTTTTTATTTCATTTCAAGGTGTTAAATATATTTCAGGCAAAAAAGGCATATTTCTTGCATTTTCACGCGTTTTATTGCTTTGCGTTGGGTAGACTTGACACAAGTCATTAAAGGGACAGGTTCACTTCAGCGCTTGCTCATTTATCAAAGTGCTGTTTTTCTGCCGGGACATGCTGTATCATCGTCTATGCAAGCAATAGGATCATGTCATAATGTTGTCAAAGAACCAATCTGCACACTCCCCTGGCAGCCACTTGCACTTAATCAACTTACATATTTGCAAATAGCTGTATATTAATCAACCATGGAATAAAACCTTCGCGTCAACAATAAATTCAACGTTGGTAGTGTTAATATCTTGTATGGTATGATTGGTAACAATCACCTCAATAAGTTAACTAATCATCTCTTACTACTTGCGAAATGATTACATCTACTGCTGCAGTATCACAGAAGAGCCTTTGTTATTAAGTGTTTATCTAACTATAGGTGGTTTTCACGTTACGTCATCGCCGCCATGCTGGTGGACAGTAAACAAAAGGACGCTCATTAGCTCGTTTTGTTTGTCCACCAACATTTGTTCATTTCACCATTGTTATTTGTGTCTCCTGAGATTAGATGAAAACCTCCTATAGTGGTAAACAAAGCCGAGATAGAAAAACAAATCGCAGTAAGCGTTAACTCACTTGAATATTATTGTAATAAATGGAAACCTTTAATTGAGATGAAGTTTGTTCGCTAGCTATATCTAAATTCAACTAGTAAGGTTATACTCAACATTAGACTCGCATTTTATTGTACTTTATTGTACTGTAATACAATGTACTGCAATTGTAAAGTATCGTAATTTTTTTTTCATGTTTGTGTAAGTGTTGATAGAGATTGAAAGAGAATAATAATAATAATAATAAAAAAACGCTGGTAGTGTTGGCATAATCCACTAATTTTTTTTTCGATTTTAGTACTCCTCCATCCTACTTCAGGTTGCTCTGAAATACACTTCGTCTTTGAAATACACTCTGAGATCGCGGAGATACATGTGAGCGGGATTATTTACCGATAGAATTAACAGTAAATTGGAAAGACATAATTTAATAAAAGAGCATGCGCTTAACCGTGAACCTGTCCTTTAATAACAATCAAAAGATTTTAAATCAAATTTTAAAACTTTAAATCACCTCAGGCTTTCATAATGTACCAGTTTTCGTACTATTTTAAAAAGATTTTGTCGCATGTATCGTATAGGTAGCAAACATACGTGAGTAAAGGACTAATGGACATTTTAGGTCATTTTAATCATAGTTAATTAAAGTGGAATGGTTGGGTTAAGCCTTTGTTCTATGTTTTTGTTAGCTTTTTTGGACCTGACCGTGCACAGCGTTCAATAGCATTCCTATCATTTTGAACTTAATGACCAATAGAAACATTGCAATAATTTATTCAGTCACAATTTGTCAACAAAAGTCAAAGGATTGTTCACGGTCAGGAAGCTTCCAATATAACCTACAGCACCACTGTTTTCAACTTTGATGTTTGACGGCTTTCCTAACCAGTCTCCTCTACTAACTATGTTTTAATTTGCATCGCATTCAAGTCGGAATGTTGAAACGATTCAACGAAGTTTTAAG